GCGGTACTGCATTTTAATTTTAGAAAGCGCAAATCCGCTTATGAATTATAAAAATTTGTAAGACCGCTAAAGCGCAAACAAAATATTTAGGTCCGCAATTGGCGGATTTGCGCTTTAGCGGMCTGGTGCCCACCACTGATMATCAAATATTCAAATTTTATTAAAATTGGATGAGTTTAAGTTTAACGAATTATGAATAAGATGTGCTTCATTCTGATTGGTTGTTCGGTTAACCCCCTCATTTGACTTTAAGACACCGATCAATCCCATCTTCTCACACAAGCCCAGTTTAAAAACTACAAACTCTTCCTACTTTGTTCCTTCTTTGGCAACTTCCACAGACTAAACAGACAGGCTTAGAGTTGCATCAGTGTGGACTTTATGCAGGCTGGTGTTGCCAAATCAGCTGAGCGACAGCAGGTTGGTTAGAGATTTACTGACTGGTTCAGCTCAGTGGCTTTTTTTATTTCCTATTTACTGTATAGTTAGAATGGCAGAGCCTCAGTTTTAAAACCTGTATTACAACTTTGTATTCGTGATGCACAGCAGAGACACACACATTCCTTTTCACATAGTCAAATCTCAAAGGGATAAAAGGTTTTGTGGATTTGTGTGTTGTGTTGAAAGTTTATTTATTTATTTAAGATAAACTCTTCACCGGGTCCTTTTGATTCTGGATGGATCAACAGGAGACAACCTTTGAGAAAATTAACACAGAATTTATTAAAGGTTACATGTAAAACCCACCGAACAGATTTGCAAATCTGGGAGAACACTAGACCAATACTTCCCTTCGATCGTCAAGCGTCTCGTCTAACTTCTGTAACTCTTGACATTTTATACTGAAGCCTCATTCTTATGTAATTTCTGAGCAACCTGCACAGGATTCGGATGTCAGCCTGACACATATTTGCACAGTAATTGGGCATGATTGGCTTTTTGGTGTTCATGTTTGATGATTGGCTGCCTCATTGTCTCCTGCACCTCAGCACACCTGAGGAAGAT